GCTTCCTTCTGCTGACAAGCTTTATGGAGATGCTGATTTCATTTTCCAGCAGGACTTGGCACCTGCCCACACTGCCAAAAGCACCAAAAGCTGGTTCAATAACCATGGTGTTACTGTACTTGATTGGCCTGCAAACTCGCCTGACCTGAACCCCATAGAGAATCTATGGGGTATTGTCAAGAGGAAGATGAGAGACACCAGACCCAACAATGCAGATGAGCTGAGGGCCACTATCAAAGCAACCTGGGCTTCCATACCACCTCAGCAGTGCCACAGGCTGATTGTCTCCATGCCACGCCGAATTGAGGCAGTAATTAAAGCAAAAGGAGCCCCTACCAAGTATTGAGTACATGTACAGTAAATGAACATACTTTCCAGAAGGCCAACAATTCACTAAAAATGTTTTTTTTATTGGTCTTATGAAGTATTCTAATTTGTTGAGATAGTGAATTGGTGGGTTTTTGTTAAATGTGAGCCAAAATCATCACAATTAAAAGAACCAAAGACTTAAACTACTTCAGTCTGTGTGCACTGAATTTATTTAATACACGAGTTTCACAATTTGAGTTGAATTACTGAAATAAATGAACTTTTCCACGACATTCTAATTTATTGAGATGCACCTGTATACCCTCGGCAGAAATCGCGGACCGGTGGCAGACCGGACTGCAAGGGTACTTTAGCGCCGAACCTCAAAGGGGGTTATGGTTAACATTTTAATAAATAATTTGAAAATTAAAATTTGTGTCACAAATTTGCTAACATTTGATTGACAGAAACAGTGCAGAATTTTATTTTGTAATATTTCTAAATATTTTGGTCAATAAGACTTTTTTGAAAGACATTAATACTTTTATTCAGCAAGGATGCATTGAAGGTCACATATTATACACCTTTCTGGAGTTTTATTTTAGGTTTTGATGTCCTTAAGAATATATATTTGCGGTATAAGTACCAAAAACCATCTAAATAGATTTTTACAGCTCGAGCAGGAGGTCGATTTTGGCCTGTCTAATTAATATTCATGAGCATCTCTTCTGATTGGCCTGTTGTTTTCTGAGTGACACACGGCCAGGCCAACCATAGGTAACTAGGGTCATGTATGCTGTAGCCTGCTATGGCAAATAGAAAAATAGAAACACCTGTAAATGGAAACACCGGTAATGATGGCCACCGCTGAGGGAAATGTTTTCCGGCCTTACATGTTTGAGCCGGACTTATGGTGCATTCAAGTCATGACAGATAGATCATATTTACAAGTTGAACGCACATGAACGCCACCACAAAGTCGTTATTACGAGTGGGAAACTCAAAATTTTCTTTAAGCCCCGAGTTTCCGAGTTGGGGGCGTGTCAATGAGAAACATGGCAGAATCGATGGATGCAAGGTCTGTAGATGACGGTAAATTTTTGTTTAAATTGATAGTTTTGATGAAGTTTTTATGCGATACAGATTAAAGTGGCTTCATAAATTACTTTTTAAAAATATTAAAAACGCAAAACACACCTGATGCGAATTCTTTGCTCTTCATTTTCTATAAGCAGAGTTAACAGACCCTGTTGTATTTTCTTGTAATTTATTAAAAGAAGGTACAGCGCCATCTTGTGCCGACTAAACTGACTTGAACGCACCTGACGTCGTAATTACGACTTGTCAACTCCTAAGTATGAACGTCCCATGAGGACTTGAACGCAGCATTAGACCCCGAATCGGCGATGACAGGAGACAACCAACCTCTTCCTCAATTGCACTTACAACAGGATGTTTCAGAATGGTAATTCATTTTTATTTATTTTTTTAACTGAATGCAGTAATCTACGTAACTATTGCTTTCCTACTGATACAACACGTCAGCATCAAGTTAGCAACAGGTTAGCATCAAGTTACCGTTGCTTAACCATTTACAAACTATAATTTCAGATTATGCTGGTGCCCTAATGTAACATAAAATGTGTGAGAAGTTTACTTAGGGGTTGCGGACATTACATAATGCCTGTTATATTACAGTAGGCTACATAAAATTTCACTTACCACATAAACAGTGTAAGGAGAAATGACTGAGGACGATGGTGAATTGCAGATCCTGAGCACCACTGACAAACATCTAATCTTGTAAAATGTGTGGCAAGTACTGCTGCTCCATAGTATAAACAAAGTACATGCGATGCGAATCTCGAAAGTGAAAGTGAAACTAAAATTGTGCATTCAAAAGCAGTTTCAATGCCAGGCATAATAGGCTAGCGGCTCCCTGCCTGATGCCTGCAATTTAAACAGTATAATTACCCAATGATATAACTGCGAGAGAAAATATTGAAATATATATTTTCCTCTCATCTCGTATTATTTAGTATTGTTCCGAAGTAGGCTACACATAGGCGGAGCGTGTGTAAGGCTGGGGAGGGGAGTTGGGGCCTTGGGGACTTTGGGCAAAAATGCTACTAAATTGGACAAAAATGCCCCTGCACAGACAAATTAAATCTATTACATCTGTTGCTAACAAAGTGAAAATGAATAGACAGTGTCTATTTCGGCATTAAATTAAGATCTGCTCATGTTGCACCATATTTCATTTTAGGCGTTTTTAGTTTTGCGCATTTTAACCAATCACACACAATTCTGTTGAGCTTAGGAATGCAATGGCCAATCAGAGGCGTTCAGATGAGTCATCGCTGAAACTCATCAGTTTTGTTGAGTGCGCGCGCGTTCCGGACTTTTGCGAATTCTCTCATCATAAACAACAAAGCGCAGATGTACATACAATGTAAGTAAGAGATTCATTTCACAGTTTATACAGTTTCAGTGATTTATAACAATAGTTTTGTTGTTTTGAGAGTGCTTAAACTCGCGATAGATCAAAGTTAGTGATAATGTCACTTTCTATATATAATTTATTCGCTGTTTGAATAACCGTGGAAAGGAAACATTATATAATTATCAGTTTCTAACGTTTTTATACAATTTGAGTCAGGTTAAATACAAATTCAGTTCCATTAAACATTTTTTTAGCCTACAGTACCCATGTCTGGTTCTTGCCTAAAAAGACGGGTTTATGATGTTTAATACATTTGGCCTTACCCTGGAGTTGGTTCACCCTCCACCTATGAGGCTACATGTAATTTTCTTTCCGAACATGGTATTGGGATGCCGGTGGGAGGATCTCAATGCCGGCTCAACATCGTGAAGTCTATCAGCCATTGGCGATGGACGATGGCATCGACTATCGGCCCAACCCTAGTTTGGAAGCCTGTGCAATGATGTAGTTTCCTGACATCCATCGACTGAACAGCGTTTTCTTGACATGTTTCCTGTTGTTGTTGCTCAGTAATGGCATGGACGCTATGCTGTCTGGGGGTTTGGCAAAAGGAGAGTGGGACTGTGGGCAGTGCTCGGGGTGGTAACTGAAGGCGATGACAGAGTAGTTCTGACATCACCTTTTTACGGAATTCCCAACGGCTCATGAAAAGGCACAGCTACTTTATGCAGGGTGACTGTGATTTCACCAAGTACAACATATTCTTGGATCAACATTCCTATCAACCAATCAGAATTGAGGGATAACTTTTCAGGAAAGTTTTAGGCTTACAATCAGGGTTAGGTGCTTTTACACCCTTGTTAATCAGCTATCATTTCACACGGATTTTAGGAATAAATTAGGCATAGGGTTAGGTTTAGGGGTAGGGATTGGGTTAAGTCTATATTTTTGGACAGTTATGTTGATCCAGGATCAACAAAAGATGTTGATCCAGGAACATGTCTTACTTGGCAAAATCACGGCGACGTTTATGCAGGCTGTGTGCATTTGTTTGTGGATTGACTGTTTTGAAATTTATATGGTAGTTACATAGCCCTTAGACCTCAGTTATCATGAAAAAAGCCAGGAAATTTCCGTTTTGACAATATGGGACCTTTAATCAAAAGTGACAGTAAGGCATTTATGATGTTCCAAAAAGATTAATATTTCAAATAATGCTGTTTTTTGACCTTTCTATTTATCAAAGAATTCTGAAAACAAAATGTATCATAGTTTCCACAAAAATATTAAAGGGGTCATATGATGCGATTAAAATTTTTCCTTTCTCTTTGGAGTGTTACAAGCTCTTGGTGCATAAAGAAGATCTGTAAAGTTGCAAAGACTAAAGTCTCAAATCCAAAGAGATATTCTTTATAAAAGTTAAGAGTCAACCACGCCTACCTAAAACGGCTCGTTCTAACACGCCCCCACATGTCTACATCACAATGTGGGAAGATTTGCATAACGCCGCCCAAATGTTCACGCAAAGAAAGAAGGCGTAACTTTTATTCTCGCTGTAGTATTGTTACTGCCACCATGTCGTGAAGACGCTGTGTGTTTCGTTGTGAAAGCGAAACTACTTAGTTTGTCCTTCCAAAAGAGGACAATATCCATCGATATGGTCGCTGAGGAAAAACATCAACTTCGCGCTGTGGATCGTTATGTCCCCACTTGATGCAACAAATGCCTCGTTTATAATGGGTTTTAATGTTTTTGTCTCATCGCTGCTGCCAGACAGGGCATCAGAGTATGGTAAGGGGCGTAACATTTCCGTCACACGCTTGAGCTATTCGGCCAATCACAACGCACTGGATAGCTGGCCAATCACAGCATACCTCGCTTTTCAGACCGGTGAGCTTTGTAAAAATCGACATGTTTCAGAAAGGTGGGGCATAGAGGAGAAACAATAATGTACGGTATGTGGAAAATAATGTTTTTTGAACCTTAAACCGCATAAACACATTTCATTACACCAAATACACAAAATAATGTTCTTTTTAGCAACATCATATGACCCCTTTAAGCAGCACAACTTGAACATCAAATCAGCATATTAGAATGATTTCTGAAGGATCATGTGACACTGAAGATTTAGCTCTGCCTTTACAGGAATAAATTACAATATATTTTATTTTTTAATTAATTCCTTTAATTAATTCATATCTCTCTGTGTCATATTCTTTTCCAGGAGTGGTATGACACACAGAAGCCCATATATTCTCGTTGTCTGGGTTTTTCTTCACTCAAGCTTTCATAACAGGTGCCTTGCAGAATTACGCCAGGAAGTACTCCGTTACCATTGACCTGCTTGGCTTTATTTATGAGGTATCCTCTGCTGCAGCTGTTCTAAGGCTGAAAGTACTTTCATTAGATAAAAAAAGAGATGATTTGAGAGCTACAATTTGTTCTTTATTACTTTAGGTTCTGCCATTTGACACCTCCGACTTATCTCCTGAAGATGGACTCTGCATTCATGGCCTTTTCTGGATGGAGCTCGGTGGGATAGAACAATGCAAGAGTACCTTCCACGGCAGGAAGACACTGGAAATAATATAATAATTTCTAAGCTATAATTTTTTTTCATTAAATATGTTCTTCCTTGCAGTGGAGTGTTGGCTGAACAGTATCCCAAAGTTTTATTTGATGCAGTCCCTATCATCAAACCAAGTAGGATTATAAATGTTGTCATGATTATTCATTACATCCATATTTATCATGTAATGTGTTTGTAGCTTGCTCAGCAACCTCTCCAAACCTTTCTTTAGCGGACAAGAGGAGCATGGAACAGCCCCACAGCATCTATGCGTGTCCCCTCTACAAGACTAGTGAGCGTAAAGGTAGACTGTCCACCACTGGCCATTCAACCAACTTTGTCATCAGCATGATGCTCCCTACCAGCAAGCGTCCTCAGCACTGGATCAAGAGAGGTGTGGCTTTACTCTGTCAGCTAGGCACCTAAGCCCTTTGACTTCTGAACCAGCACTTTATTTACGGTTTGTTTTCCACTGTTTTCATTAAAAATAATATTTTTAATATCTTTTGACAAATACCATCATAATTCTATATGACTGTTTTCTTTAAATGTCATTGTGTTTTTTATTTGTGACAACTGATGATCGATTCAGCATGGGTGACGATAGTGGTGAAGTACCTCCAAAATATCTAAACTGATTTTTTTTTTTACAGGAGCTCCAGACAGGTGAAAAATATTTTTCAGTATAGAAGTTGATCTACAGAGCACTTTCAGTCAAGTAATATTAATATATTTGTTGTAGTCTACTTTCCATAACTGAAACATAATGGACATATTGCATTTAAGGGTTGTTTTGCCACTCAAATCTGCTGTGACTATTTCAAATAAATGCATCTTTCACAAGGATATTTTAATAACATTTGTTTGGATATATTTAATGCATAATTATAACACTTTTTATTAATTTTTTTTGTAAAAACACTTAATAATAAGTGTTTTTTGTAAAAACAAATCAGAAGAAAGATTGGGAATATATTAAATGCTTGTTTTTAAGTACAAAGGAATATTCTTCTGTTTTTCCCCCCATTGTGATTTAATAATTCATACATCAGAGTGTTAATGTGTGTCTACTGGGATGGCTTTATTTAATCAATGCACAGCTTACTGTTTCCTGTGTGTAGAGTATGTGTTTTGTACTGTCCACTGTGAATTTCAAGATGGTTTAATTCAAACAGTCATCTGAATACAAGAGAAATTGTGACTCATTGCAAGTGTTCCTAAGAACACAAATGCTAAGAGCATTAACTCTCAGGTCAGCTGTCTGGTGGGCTAGAATAGCAAAACCAGGTGTTGGTTGGCTGGCCCAGGCCCCATGTGCATGTATTTTTAACCATGCACAGATATAAATAGTTTTAAGAGTGTAAAGCGACCAAAAACACAGCACAGATACAACTGCCACGACTGTTTTCAACATTTCCCATTGCCTCAGGTAGAAGAACCCTTTGCCTTTGAATTAAGCATATGTAAACAGATTATTCCTCCCAGAAAATAGATTGCATGGGATGTGTTGCATGCTTACAAAACATTCTTAAAGGGGTCATAGGATGCTACATGCACTTTTACAAGTAGTTTGAACTTAAATGTGTTGGCAGTGTGTACACAACCACCCTATAATGATAAAAAATCCACCCAGTGTTTTTTTTTTAATCATTTAAAATGTTTTCCCCTTTTTCAAATCGAGCCAATCTCAGATGCCTGTCTGTGTGACATCACAAAAACAGGCCCCTCCCACGATAGTTTGATTGACAGTAGCGTTTCAGCACAGACTGGACTGGTGTCTTACCTCAGACCCGCCCTGAGTGAGATGTCATCAGTCCGCCATTGTTTCACCGCTGGAGCAGATGTAGACAAGAATGACTCCTAAGCGATTGAGGTGTTCTGTTGTTGTATTGAGGACGCTCTTAATAATGAACATAGCAGTCGTCATTTACTCCCGACATCTGAGCCGCTGAACTTGCTGTGGATTACATTTGTTTCTGAAGGGAATGCTCCCCCGATCTGCCTAAATGCGTCTATGTTGGCGCGAATCATTCATGATTAAGCCTCATCTACAGAAGAAGTGATTATAATGTTTTGTAAAGAATCTTTGCAAATCGCCTTTCCTAATAATGTGCTAATTAACAAGTTTCACTATGAATGCAGCTAAAATAGAAGCTCGGAAGAGAGGGGTGGGGTCAGCAGAGCTCATTAACATTTAAAGGAAAATGCTACAAAAACGGCTTGATCTGAAAAGGGCTGTTTTTGACAGGGTAAAAAAGGTGTTTTTTACACTACCATTGAGAAATTTTAACCAAACTATGTTACAAACTTTTCATTAAGACCCTAAAGAATCATATCAACTTGTGGAAAATGGGCATCTTATGACCCCTTTAAAGTAAATGGAAAGTCGTTTAAAGGATGACATTACCAAAGCTGCTAATTATGATATAGACTCTTTTTACATTCATTCTAAATATGAATTTGAAATTTCAATCCAACAACAACACAGTTTTGAGTGCCGGTTACAACCTTTTGTAATTCAAGCCAGATCAGTAGAAACTAGAGCAGATATTTTCAGCTTTGGCTATTGGAAACCAAAGCTTGTATGCATATACAATACAGTCTGTTGCAAAAAATATATTTGATTATATATCAAATATATAATATATATATATATATTAAATATATATTATAAGAGTTGAACTAGCATGATGCTTGTCATAATATACATGATATACTACTATGTGTTTTCCTACATTAGATTAGTCTGTTTATTGGCAAATCCTAAAAATCTTAGCTAGAGGATACAAATGTGTATAAAGATACTGATGACTAAAGTCACTTCACATTGTAAAGACACAGAAAATGCTATTTGCTGGTAAATCTTGTGGTTCTGATTACCAAATTAGAATTTGTTAGTGAAAGATGAAGGAATTGTATGATGACTGGGATGATGATGAAGATGAGGCCACTCAGTACATGATCAGATACATGAGTCTACAGGAGTACAGTAAACATGCTGATTCAGCTACCAGGTATAGCGAAATCGTGAAATCGCCCCTTTTAATGCTCTAATGGCATGTGTCCAGGGTGCGAATTACACAGAGACCATTAATTAATCTCAAATTAATAAGATTAATTTAAGATAAAGTTGTTATTAAAGATAATAGTTATTTTGTTCATTAAAAAAAAACACTGCAAAGACATTACAAAAAAGTAGCTTTAGAAAGAAATATAAGTAGCTTTAGAAAAAAATATTTTAATTCAACATACAAAAATACAAATAAATAGGCTAGTGAAATATAAAATCATTTTTAAAAACAAACAATACTCTAAATATAAAACTAAAAACGCTAGTAGGTGGTGGAAAATCCCTGTCTTAATAAGTGAATGATTCAATCATTCATTCAATCGATTCGTTCAAACGGCTGATTCCTTCAGAAACGAAGCAAGTGACTGCCTTATGAATGGCTCACTAAATCATTGATTTAGTCGATTCGTTTAAAAACGTGGATTCTGTGTGTTGATCAGAGATGCACAACAATTCTCCTTATTTTTGTTGGCGAAATTACTGACAATGTGTCTAAAATGTAATCACAACTTATCTTCATTTTTACTGTAGGTAAAAACTTTTATGTAACCTATTTTTTGTCTTTCTAAATGCCAATGATGATTCTGAAAGAAAACACGCAGTATTTGTTATAGTAACACCTGCAACTTTCATGCTCATCTGACTAACATTACCACACGCTTGTATTTTAACGTTGCTGTTAATGTTGTGGTTATTTTAGCAAATAGTTTGCTCCGTAAATTCAGTTCAACAGCATTACCCTGCAAACAAGCCTGCACCGGCCCTTTACGGGCCCACTTAGGGCTAGCCTAAGGGCCCCCAGCAGGCTGCTAGAGCAGGGCCTCTGAGATTTTGCTCATTGGCAAAACGTTGGCCCCTTAGCGGTGGCCCTGCACGGGCAGCCCTCACTTAGCCCACTCTATTAATCTACAACAGGGGGGCACCAACCTGGTCCTGATCAAACACAACTGAACCAACTAATTAGGATCTGAAGGAGCTTGATAATTACAGACAGGTTTGCTTAATCAGGGTTGGAACTGAACTCTGTAGGAAGGTAGATCTCCAGGAACAGGATGCACCCCTGATCATGCACAAAGCTGAACTCATACGTCATCAGCCCGGAGCTGCTTCCGGGTACAAATGTTGGCGAAAGCTACATTAAAGTGATTATTACATTTTGAATATGGATATTTTTCTTACAAAAATGCATCGAAGGTCTTATGGGTTTGGAACGACATGAGGGTGAGTAATTAATGACAGAATTTTCATTTTGGGGTGAACTATCCCTTTAAGGACTACAAAAAAGGTGGGTAGGGACTACAACAAGCTTCTTCCCGGGTTTGTGACATTACTAACCCTGATGTTCAGATAAACCTTGCCCCGGGAACATGCAACTACCCGTAATGGTAAGGGGGCGTGACGTTTCCGGACAACATGCACTAGGCGGTTGACGACAACACACTGGGCCAGCTAACCAATCTGAGCTCATTGCGGCTAGTGAAATATAAAATCATTTTTAAAAACAAACAATACTCTAAATATAAAACTAAAAACGCTAGTAGGTGGTGGAAAATCCCTGTCTTAATAAGTGAATGATTCAATCATTCATTCAATCGATTCGTTCAAACGGCTGATTCCTTCAGAAACGAAGCAAGTGACTGCCTTATGAATGGCTCACTAAATCATTGATTTAGTCGATTCGTTTAAAAACGTGGATTCTGTGTGTTGATCAGAGATGCACAACAATTCTCCTTATTTTTGTTGGCGAAATTACTGACAATGTGTCTAAAATGTAATCACAACTTATCTTCATTTTTACTGTAGGTAAAAACTTTTATGTAACCTATTTTTTGTCTTTCTAAATGCCAATGATGATTCTGAAAGAAAACACGCAGTATTTGTTATAGTAACACCTGCAACTTTCATGCTCATCTGACTAACATTACCACACGCTTGTATTTTAACGTTGCTGTTAATGTTGTGGTTATTTTAGCAAATAGTTTGCTCCGTAAATTCAGTTCAACAGCATTACCCTGCAAACAAGCCTGCACCGGCCCTTTACGGGCCCACTTAGGGCTAGCCTAAGGGCCCCCAGCAGGCTGCTAGAGCAGGGCCTCTGAGATTTTGCTCATTGGCAAAACGTTGGCCCCTTAGCGGTGGCCCTGCACGGGCAGCCCTCACTTAGCCCACTCTATTAATCTACAACAGGGGGGCACCAACCTGGTCCTGATCAAACACAACTGAACCAACTAATTAGGATCTGAAGGAGCTTGATAATTACAGACAGGTTTGCTTAATCAGGGTTGGAACTGAACTCTGTAGGAAGGTAGATCTCCAGGAACAGGATGCACCCCTGATCATGCACAAAGCTGAACTCATACGTCATCAGCCCGGAGCTGCTTCCGGGTACAAATGTTGGCGAAAGCTACATTAAAGTGATTATTACATTTTGAATATGGATATTTTTCTTACAAAAATGCATCGATTCGCTACAGGAGGCCTTTGTTCACCCCCCGGAGCCGTGTGAGACATTTTTTATGGATGGGTGTTTTTTTATTTAACTTCTTTTGGACTGATGCATGCAACACCCGCTAAGTGGCATTAAACATCTTAAAAGATCAAAGACAATTTTTT